TTTTTTCGGATTGCCGGAATTCCTTTAATTGATCGAATACCAGCCGGAAGAACTACAGCTTGAGGCAGATAACGTAATTCCTGATATTAACGAGTGTATAGCGCACATCCCCAGAGCAGCCCTTTAAGAGACGCTCCACTGTTATTGAAAACCTGGCCAACAGCCAAGCGCTCATAACTATGTTTTGGGTCGTGAAATTCCACTTTGGTTACTAGGAAACACAGAGATAAAGGGCAAGTCATGGCACGTTTCTGTCGCGGTCAAAAAGCACGTGGATGGTGAAGTTGAGGTAGAGTTCTAAGTCCTAGATGGTAATTCTAAAAACGCTGCAGAGAAAAGTTTAAAATACGTCGATAGACTAAGGATAATTGACGCACATTACGCAAGCTTAAAAGGTCACGTAATATATTAGACCAATGGTCATTATCTGCGGATACCGTACATTGGACGAAAGGAATAAGCTAGAATAAGTCGAGAAGTAGTCTTCACTCTTCTAGGCAAAATTTGGTGAGATTCTACAGGATTTTACAAGTGCAAATATTTCAGAAATGTACACATTAAAACGAAAAATAAGTCCATTTAGTTTCGAAGGGTTTTGAATAAATAGTCAGTTAGGTTGTTCGTTGATTTGAAGCTTTATCAATACAGTGACAATAAGCTTAGAGGTGGTGTTGCTTATAGGATACATGTCTTTCTTTTCCGAGACAAGAAGCTAAATCCACTACTTTGATAGATGTACACAGACTTGGTCTGCCGGGGCATCCATCCTGCAAGGCTTTTGCTTAAAATTTCAATTACGTTAACCTTACTAAAGCTTTCTGGCGATCTGAAAACGCTGGGTGTTACAACAATGCGTTTATTTACCTGTCACCGCCAAGCCTTAGACCGTACCCGAATCAGACTAATCCTGCGGTACGACTTCAGCGGTCATCAAGTCAGTAGAGATACTTGCTATCGTCGCAAAGCCACACTTGAAAGTCACATGAGGCGATTTATGATAAAAAGAACGAGAAAACGACATAAACAACGCTAGCGACATGTATGAAGGCTTCTAATGAATGGTATAAGGGAAATGGGGAGGGGGGGAGGGATTGAAAGGGTGCAACGCCACTGTTGCAAAAATTCAAGACTCTTCCAAAATATGAAGTACAGCATGGCTGTCATCAAAGCTTTGAACAACATTTCCTTTAAATCTGTTAGGATGAGAGCTTGGAAAGTGTAAAATGTTGACATGGCTTTTTTCTTGTTACTGGGACAGCCTTAAAAATACAGTTCTCCACAAGTTCAAACAGAAAAAAATTTGTACTTATTGACTGAGTAGGAGAGCCGGACGAGGTCATGACGTACGGACCAAGCGTAACGATGTCCGTGCGCTATGACTGAGCACCAAATATCTTCCCATCAGGCTCAAACAAACTCAGTCAATGAGCATTTTTTTAAATCACCACTAAGTGTTGAAAATTTCGAAAATCTTGTTTCAACCTATAGAAGACGCAATAGACGGGCGCACGCTGGAAAACTACAAAAAATGATTCTACAATACCGACTTGTTTTCTCGAGTTAGAGCTATAAAGACACATAATTCTACGAAAAACCCGACTTTTTTATGATTTTCATATCTCCTCTAGGTTTTTGTTGAAAACCTGTGAGAGTGCTGGGCCGAAACGGCTTTTCCGGATCTGCTCATGTCACAGCTTGTACTACGTTTTTCTAAGAGATTGCGCATGTAAGGCCGTATGGTAATATAATAAAAGTACTTCAGCCACTTAGACAGCCATCTAAGGGTGTTGAAAGGTTTCATGTGGCTGCATCTCAGCCCCAAGTTGCCATAACTGGTCAGCAGGGGACGTTTAATAGCCCATGCACTTTTTTTTTTTAAGAGAAGAGAACGTAGCTCACGCCGTTGTGATCACTTGCAACACGTCCTTCCAAAATCGCAAACTCCTCAACGTAGTCTAGCTAAAGTCCCCCGCAAAGTGATGTAATTAACTCAGAATAGCTTCCTAAGAGAAGAGTTATTATAGACTACTCTACTCTACTCGGTTAAAAGTAACAGAAACAACTTTTCTGCAATCTACCTAAAATTCGATGAAGTCTTCTCCAAACCTTCCCATAGAAACAAAAAATTATTGCGTATTGAATAAAATTATAATAGATGTATAAAGTGTTTCATTTGTGTAAATTACATTTGGCAAACGTTGCTGTCAACCACCGACGTCCGTTATCCAATTCCATAATGTTTAATGTATGATATATACATACATGTAAGACTCATTTTTTCAAAAAGATTGTGTCAGCGTCACAGAATTTCTATACTAAATGACTCCTTAGCTCGGCAACTATACATATGCTGCTTTTAGACATAAGTACCACAAAACTAGCGTCAGCGATCCCATTCTCAAATTGAAATTGAGTGAATAAACATCAGTATATGACCAAAAGTTGCATGAATTAACGTCAGAGTTTACGTATTTCAAAGGGATGTGATAACATATCTTTTAAAGTGGCCTAAACCTTTTTTCGCCCACAAACGTAGTGTTACGATAGGTCTTTCGTGTGATGATATATTTTCCGACATACAATGTTGCCCATTGGAGATATTTGCATTTAAAAACCATAATTTTTCCTTTTTTGGAATAGTTGCGTAACACAGTTAATGATTAACTGCTCTAAATTGGCAAAAGTCATATCATATTATCTCAACTTCGAGGAACTGTTTCCTTAAGGTTCAAACAACCATTGAACATCATAAGATTAAAATGCATCGCATTCTGTTAGTGTGACAGAGATTCGCTAGAATTGCATTTCTCGAGCTAATTTTAGCCTTTTACCTCAGGGATTTGGGGTGGGGACTCTAATACCCAGGGATTACTCGGGAGCCCGAACTACTTTGGATTCTTGAATAACTTAGTGACCCTCATAGACTGTGAAAGTTTGAAAGTAATCGATGGGATGATATGAGTCACGCCTGCCCAGTCCTCTCGTGGACAGACTCATAAAAGTCTAAAAATACAGTGAAAACCAAAAACCCGGAGGGGGTGGTCTACCTTTCGTGGAAATAAGCGATGATTGCTCAGACGTACCACTTTTCTAACATTTTCCAGAGCTCTCTTTCAGCCTCTGCATGCAGCCTTGCCTCAGTTGTTTACATGTCATCATTTAACTCTTGCTTTGTGTCTTGCTGATTCGTATCAGGGGCTTACTGTACTTTGCGAAACAAAACGAACTGAAATCCATAATTTGCGAAATTAACTCAAAATATGTAATTTTCGAAATAGGAATCTGTATTTGAAAAAGAAGAGGTGCAGGAAAATTATGGCCACCAGCCGGATCATCATAGAATCGATCAAAATCTTTTAAAATGTTTCTTTTATTATCAAAATGGGTCTATCCTCGCTTGGAGCAAATTGGAAACGGACACTAAAAGTATGAATTTATTCCACACATCTCAACTAATGATTTTAGCCTTTTGTAATTTAAAAACCCTTTTTTATAATCCTTCAAACAACAGAGTGTAAGTTTATAGAAATGAGAATGTGAGGACTATACATTTTGAACTTATTTCTATTGAAAATACTCATCTTATTTATAAAATTAAATTTGATTTAATTTTTTTTTTACGCACATGCGTTTGCAACTAGTTAGATAAAGTAAAGTTTAAGTGAACATGTTTTGCTGATGTGAATGGGGTATAAGATGTATGAACCTATTGCCAGCTCAGAAGTTGCGTTGAGGTTCGCCCAGGAAACTAAATCGATCCCAGTCTTGCGCGTCCACGATGTCCAGGCCGCCTACTATTTCTGCCTCCACGTTTTCTACTTATTTACGGACCTCGGGTCTACTGAAGACCTAGCTATGTTACGATATGCTTGTTAAGGTTATGGTGCTCTTTGGAATGTAAAAGGAGAGCGGAAAAAAACATTTGTTATGACTGATCCTCAAACTGTGAGGGTCGATTTTACTACAATTTTTTTCCTATGTAGAAAGGTTAATGGCCGATAATAAGGCATAACCTAAAGGCTGGTTTTCATTTACAATGCAGTCGGAGTCAGAGTCAGAGTCGGAGTCGTTACTGAGGAGTGCTGAGCAATACGATCAAGTTGAAATCAAACTGGTTTGAACTTCCGCTTCTGCCTTCAACTCCGACAGTTGAGTTTTCACTGATCATAAGCCTCGGAGTCTAAAACAGAATCAGAAGAAAATGAAACTGTTCTGATTCTTCTGACTCTGATTCCGTACTCCGACTTTGTTGAGCTTATGACTCCGCTTACGACTCCGATGTTCAATTTTCACTTGGTCGGAAGTGCTCTTGCAACACCGACTACGACTCCAACTCCGTCGCTAATGAAAGCCAGCCACAAGACAACTTGGAAAGAAGGATATCCCGAAAGAATAATTCTTTTCTTCCCATGGTTTAGGGATAAACCGTGGGCAAGGATCGGAGGAGCATTTGTAATTAAAATTCATCCAGGGTCAAACTCAGAGCAATCTATCGAGCTCCATACACATTTCTTAAGTTTGCAGCAAATTAAGCCATTTGTTTAATAAAAACATCATTTACATTTGATTGTACGGATATTTTGAGTAAGATAAAAGTGGAAAATTTAGTGCAGATATAAATCTATATTTCGAATGAAGGAAGGAACTTTTTGCACGTTTATAATCGCTACATTATTTTTATTTTCTACCCCTAAAACTATTTTTTTCTTTTTTCATATTGAAAAGTAGGCGACAATTTGCAAAGTATGCAAAAGTTGAAACACAACGGCAGAGCTGGAAAGGGAGAGACTTAAAGAAACCTCGGAATTGCCTATCAGAGGTTAGGCAATTTTCATAAGGCAGTCGAGTACCACGAGCGTCGTCTTCAAACTGTAAAAGAAGTGGGGGATAAAGCTGGAGAAGGCCACGCTTATGGAAATCTTGGTATTGCCTATCATAGGTTAGGCGATTTTCATAAGGCAATCGAGTACTATGAGCTTCACCTACAATTTGCAAAAAAAATGGGGGGAAGAGCTGGAGAAGGAGCAGCTTATGAAAATCTTGGCATTGCCTATCAGAGCTTAGACAATTTTCATAAGGCAATCGAGTACCATGAGCATCATCTGCAAACTGCAAAAGAAGTAGGGGATAAGGCTGGAGAAGGCCACGCTTATAGAAATCTAGGCATTGCCTATCAGAGCTTAAGCGATTTTCATAAGGCAATCGAGTACCATGAGCTCCACCTACAATTTGCAAAAGAAATGGGGGGAAAAGCTGGAGAAGGAGCGGCTTATGGAAATCTTGGCATTGCCTATCAGAGCTTAGGCAATTTTCATAAGGCAATCGAGTACCATGAGCGTCATCTGCAAACTGCAAAAGAATTGGAGGATAAAGCTGGAGAAGGAGGGGCTTATGGAAATCTTGGCAATGGCTATGATAGCTTAAGCAATTTTCATAAGGCAATCGAGTACCATGAGCGTCATCTGCAAATTGCGAAAGAATTGGAGGATATAGCCAGAGAAGGGGATACTTATGGAAATCTTGGCAATGCCTATCTGAGGTTAGGTGATTTTCATAAGGCAATCGATTACCATGAGCGTTGTCTAGAAATTGCGAAAGAAGTGGGGCATAAAGCTGTAGAAGGACAGGCTTATGGAAATCTTGGCCATACTTATCAGTGCTTTGGCGATTTTCGTAAGGCAGTCGAGTACCATAAGCGAGACCTACAAATTGCAAAAGAAGTGGGGAATAAAGCTGGAGAAGGAGGGGCTTATGGGAATCTTGGCAATGCCTATCAGCGGCTAGGTGATTTTCAGAAGGCAATCGAGTACCATGAACGTCACCTACAAATTGCAAAAGAGGTAGGGGATAAAGCTGGAGAAGGCAACGCTTATGGAAATCTTGGCAATGGCTATTATAGCTTAGGTGATTTTCATAGAGCAATTGAGTACCATGAGCGTCACTTACAATCCTCAAAAGAAGTGGGGGATAAGGCTG